GCGGCGGTTTAGCTGGAAACAGGTTTGTTTGTGTGTCTGATAAGAATCTATTTTCCATCATATGATGTCATATGATAAGTGATATCATGAAGAAGTCACAAAGGCATTAGAAAGTGACGTCATGCAGAGTTCAACAATGCATTTTTAAAGTCTCTGATTCCTGATGATACTTTTGCCAACGACTGGAGACACAACCTATGGGTTATTTAGATTAACCATTCATTCATCATCATATGGTATAAATTATGTAACGATGAAATGGCATTATTACAATAACAAAAAAAATTGCATTGCCTGACTGGGATATATACAGCAGGGATGCAGGGTATATGCAACGCCACTCTGATGCTTTTAATTTATAACTTTTCTATTTCTCTCTTATCAGCTTACAGTTTTCTTCAGTGAATTTGCACATGTGTTTTCTGTGCATGTTACTGCCGCCATCTGTTGATCAGAGGACTATTGTGGAACTGGCAGCAGGAACGTGTAGCCTATCACGTCACCCATGTGCTCATGCTTGTGCAACGGTACAAAATAACACTGGGATACCAGAAGTTAAAAACCACCAGTGGGTACCATTTAAATAAATGAGACCAAATTAAGAAATTGTACACCACAGTTTTAATCAGTCCCAACATCTTCTCTCTGTGCTGCCTCATTTTAGAACAATGAGTAGTTCATACAGCAGCAAGAGACTCTGGAGATGAAAAGAAACCACCGAGTTGAGAGAGTCAAATCAGAAGGTCACATACATTTGTTTGTGTGTCTCACTTTGAAGCGGAAAGCTTCAAGCCACGCCGGCATGAATAAGTCATACAGCTGTGAGCACAGGCCATAACGCTGGGGTCACATGACACCTACTGCTTTATACTGGTCCCACAACCTTTTTACAGAGAATCTTTGTTGAAACGTAGCTGAGAACATTTTACTGTTGCGACACAAACATGGGGTCTTTCTTACCAGAAAATGACTAACTGTAACAGAACAGCACAGGGTATAAGGATTGTTTATAAAACATGTTTTCAAATGTTCCAGTAAGAAATTGTAAATTTTTTGAAATTTGAATCCCTTCAACCTGTCTGACACAGTGATGTTAAGTGGCATGAACAAGTTTCCACTTAAAAAGAACAGATGAATATAGAGCCCTGATGAGTCGACGAGAACGGACTGGAAAAAACTGAATATAAAAAAACAGACAGCAGACAGGTGCAGCAGCAAACAATCAAAACCTTTGACGCAGGAAAGTTAAATCTTCTTCCACCTTTAACATACTTAACTTCAAAACCACTTAAGCGAGTCATCACCGAGCTGTTAACACTGGTTGTAAATGCTAAAGTGATTCATCACACATTTCTTTTACAATTTTGTCTGTGCCATATTCTAACTGACAGACCCTTGATTCCATGTATAATTGAAGTATTATTCAAAGAGTATGTGGCTACCTGCTTGAAGAATACCATGGAGAGAAAATGCTTTATTTGAAGCCATGTTAGAAATTGTATTTATCTAGGCTATTTTATTCAATTTCAATTAAATTTTATTTGAATGATGACAAATCTCAATATGCATTATCATCTTGCTTTCCATCCATCCATCCATCCATCCATCATCAATGCCGCTTATCGTTTTTAAGGGTTGCAAGGGAGCTGGAGCTCATCCCAGCTGACGTTGGCCAAGAAGCAAGGTACGCCCTGCACAATTAATCGAACCCTTATCTGAATGTCTTTGGACTGTGGGAGGAAGCCAGAGTATCCGTAAAAAAACACCCACGCAGAAGAGAGGAGTACATGCAGACCCCACACAGACAGGCCCTAGCCGAACCGGGATTTGAACCAAGGATTGGTGCTGACATTTGCACCACTGTGCCGTCCATGATATTATAGAGAACAACAACATTTTCCACAATGAGCAAGCACTTCATGATGACATTTAAAGGGGTGAAAGCTCCAACAGACTCAGCGAGGGCGGCCTCGACCGGTTGGGGCGAGAGAAATGGGGCAGAGAGGAGAGGTTGGTTGAAAAGGGGAGACAGAAAAGAGAGGGAGAGGAGACCAGGAACAGAAACTGATGCATTTAAGTATCCTATCAGAGTGGTTGTTATAATGACAATAATAGTGACACTTAGATATAATAATGTTATTAACAGCAGAAATAAATAATAGCAGCAATAACCCTCTAAATATATCAAGTATATTTTATGTACAGTAATATGTAATAGTTCTTACTTTAATACTCTCCAATATGATCATATTTGCAATGTTAAAAACAAAGTTATTTTAAGACGCTGATAACATGGTTTCCACCCTCTCCAGCCCACAAGCAACAGGCCAGTCCTTATGTTTTCTCTCAGGCGTGAGCCAATCCATGGAACAGTTGCATTACTCAAATGTACCAGAGAGGGATTACATTAAAACTCCCCACTGTGCGAGCATTTCATTAGGCTCGCTCCCTGTCTGAGTGGATTTACAACACTCTCGTCTGCCCACCTGCTCCCACCCAAAGAAGTGCTCGGTCAGAACGACTTGTTCCACGACATGTTTGAAAGCTGAACCTGCAAGTGTCATGCATGTTGTAGATATTTGATTATTGTCTTCTTGGAGCAATCTTGCAGAAATGTGTGACTTGTTCCTGTTTCAAAAAACCTTAACACAAATCTTCCTTTAATTTAGTCATTTGTATACTTTATCATTATTTACTTGGGTATTATGTGCAAAAACACAAAGACCCAAAACAGTAAGTACAGAACAGACACTAAATGCTACAGACTGAGAACAAACTGTCTGAAATTATTTAGGACATCCTGAGATGAAAATGATTTTTCTCATACAAGATCTTATTTATGATCTAATTCTGAATCTCATTTGAAAATAAAAGATACTGGGACTTCTCTCACAAGTCTATTTGTTGTTTGTCTCGAAGGTGTATAAAAGAATATTGTCAACATAATGAAGCCATAAAAACTTAAGCCATTATAATATAAAAAAGCAGCAGTGTTCGCAGGGTGTCGATATCACTGATTGTTATGAGATAGAGAAGGGTTTGTTTCACTTGCAGTCCATCACTATTTTCACTTTACAACTGAAAGCTTAAATGAAATGTCACCGTCTGGTGATTATCTGCTTCTAATAAAGCTTTAGTGCTTTTACTTTAAAGTTTCCTCCCTGGGGACTGTGTGTACTATTTATAGGAAAACTTTAAAGATGCATCAAGACGAGACAAGTGAAAACTCCCCTGACGGCCAATTGTAAATAAAACTTGCCTCTTATGGCTGAGATGGTTCCACATCAAACAAAAAAGAGTGCGATTTCTCAAGTGAGAGATGGTAAGCCTCCTTTCCACTGATCATAATTTTAGATGAAAAGGTTCTTCTAAAAATAAATTGCCAACATGCTTTTTTCTGATCAGTGCTTGTCAGGGCCCCTTCATCATCTGTCACTGTTTGTATACGATTGGTAATTTATAGCTGAGGGTATAGGACAGGGTCTGTTACGTGAAAGGAACACTGGAGTGTGGTGATGAAATGTCGGATTAATCACAATCTTGCAAACAATATCTGAACAGCAGTCATAATTATTGGGCTGAGTCAGTGTCTTTAGGTAGGTCCATCAGTTATGCGTCATGTACTCAAACCAGGCTGATAACCGTCCTGAATAATAGAATGTTTGTTATGTTTTGACGACCAGTGGGTATGAGTAATTGTCTTTGTATTCTGGAGGCATCTGTTTGATTTGGTCCTTGTAAATACTTACAAATACAAATATTACATTTATAGAGCTGTTCTCTTGTTTGAATAGACAATAATTTATTAATATGGTTCTTTTCACTTTGGTGATACAACAAGAAATATAGATTCTCAATAGAAATCAAGAGTTGCTGAGGTTAGACCAGGAAAGTACTGGGATTTCTGTCAGACAATGTCACAGTTATACAATCGGGATGGACATGGCTTGGAAATGACTGCTGGTTAACATGATAGACTGTATGTAAGGCCACTTCTCTCACTGAACAGGAGAACTGCAGGGTGGAATATATGAAAGGAAAAGAAGAGAAGAGCAGGTGTTAAAGCTGTTAAATTAATAAAATATGTTGAAATTGTTGGAAAGTTGATTGAGACGGTTAATTGTAAATGAGTTTCCAAAAAGAAGAAAATGGAAACTGAACTTTTACTAAAATTAGGCCCTTTTTTAAGATGCACATTAAAAAAAAAAGCTTTCTATGTAATTTATGTTTTACTTGACATGAGTAAAGAGCATTTAATTTAGTACTTATTGAAGGTCCTTCCAGTTCAAGATGAAAACTGATATGATTACATAATAGTTTATTTGATTGACAGTCATTTGTTGACTGACCTAGATAAAACTAATATTTCAATGTACAATGCACTGAATCATAATGTTAGATATAATGTTGATCAGGACCCTGAGGAATTCTTCTGTGTCTTTCTGAATATATAACACCTTATACATTAAAAATCCACTGGTTGGTGACGGTCGGTTCCAACCCTGCGTTTTGAATATTGGTGGTGAGATGATTTGGATATTTACGGACCATTTTTAGACTGAACACAAGTGTGTAAGGGTTGTAATTAGAGCTGTTGCACCAGACAGAGTCTCTCTCTCATTGGCTCTTTCTCTCTCCCCCTGATTCACTCACTCATCGGGGTCTCTTCCACTTTGTGCTCTCTCTCTCTCTCTCTCAAACTGGCTCTGTTGAGTGCAGGAGCCCCAGAGGTGTCTGACAACCTTCAGCACAGCCAAGGGCGACGCTTCTGTGATGCTGCCCCACTCCAACTATTCACCTCTCTAAATTTACATTTGCAAAGTGCCTGATGTGCCTTTGCACAACAATCTTAACAAAATTATTTTTCCAAGGAGAGAAAGTACAGGGGCGCTGAGTGCTTTTACGCATGGAAGTTGGAATCAGTCTCGTTACCTTTACGCATGGCTGTGGCTCGTCTCCACGGAGGATGCTGCCGGGCTTATGAGAGCGTGCCAGCGCGTCAACAGCGGAGTAAAAAGTGAGCAACGATGCGGGGCACTGAGCTGTTGCTCGGCTACTTTCTGGTGAAAGTTATGGTGTGCGACGCGGAGGGCGAGCCGGGGCAGACCGTCGACGACTTCATAGTGACCGGGTTTAACGAGTCCAAGGATGGGGAGAGTGAAGTGACGGAGAGCCCGCATGTGGAGGACAAGTGCCGAGGCTACTACGACGTGATGGGCCAGTGGGACCCGCCGTTCGTGTGCAAGACCGGCAGCTACCTGTACTGCTGCGGCACCTGTGGCTTCAGGTTCTGCTGCGCGTTCAGGAGCTCCAGGCTGGACCAGACCACCTGTAAGAACTACGACACACCGCCGTGGATGATGACGGGCAAACCCCCACCGAAAGTGGACGTGGCGCTGGAGTCCGCGAAGGATAAAACCAACCTCATCGTGTATGTCATATGCGGGGTCGTGGCCATTATGGCACTGATAGGGATTTTCACCAAGCTTGGTTTGGAGAAGACGCACCGTCCGCACAGAGAGAACATGTCGAGGTAGGTCAAGTGTTCACCAATAGAGGTTTAGGGCTATTTATAATTACTCATTGTGTTCTATCACAACAGCAATTTAAAAGAAAGATCTAAAAAATGTTAAATTAACCTATATATGCCTTACAGGGCCAATGCGAAAAATAACTCACTGGTGGAAAAACACTGAAGAATTGCAGGTCAAAAGCAAAACGTTGTTTTGGTAATAAAGGCATGTAAAGCTATTAAACAAAGTTCAGCACATTTTTAACAGGGATATCGAGATAGGCAGAAACATTCAGAATAGCTGAGTTTAACGCACCATTCTTCAGAGAAAGACTCAGTTATGGGTCCTCAATCACATGCACCTTATTCTGAGTTACAGACAAAAATGGTTATCTCATTAATTATCTGCAAGATGTGCAGCTTATACATTTGTCATTTGCCAAACACACACACTTTCTTCGCTCCACTTTTCACTCACAAGCACAAAGAGGATAACTTTCTTGAGATTTTGGGCTGAAAAAAGACATGAAGAAGTACTTGTAAGTCATTTGTAATAGTTGGATTCTGAAGGAGCAGAATTTTGAATATAGATGGTACTTGTATCTGAGGACCTATATGAAAAATTAAAAACCTGGGAGGTGATGAACTTGCACCACAAACATCTGAAAGCTTACTTTGGAATAGACCTGTGCATATGCTTTGTCTCAATTATGCCTATTCTGAATTCAGTGCCTGAATTGTACATACAAAAAAAAATATATATATATTTAGGAGCCAAACGTGGCCACATGCTGTGATCGTCATTTTCTTTGAGGCCATGTTTAGTTGGGATAACACTGCCCTGTCGGAATGACATCATTTAACAGAAAGCCTGTGTTACAAACTTGAATCATGAAAGATAAGGGCTTTTATGCTGCAGGAGGGTCTGAGGCAACTATGAGAAATGCAAGATTCAGTGTTGATGGAGTTTGACCCATACTAAGGAGAAAAAGTCTATCACCTGATTTACCTAATTTATAGAGGTGCTATACTAAATTGTAGGAGTGCCCCTTTAAGCCATGGATTGCTGTACAAACATGAATTTAATGGCATAGACACTGATAAGTGTCCCCTCTACTACAGACAGCCAACACCATGAGGGCTCCTTCCCCAACCTCAACCAGTCACTTTGAAGATGGTCATGATTCATTTCTATAGTCATTGACAAACAACATTATGTTCACAAACCCTGGAGTGCACTGCTGCCCTAATCTGTGGTGGGTACTCACTGAGATTTTTATCATCTTTCTAGGGCTCTTGCGCACGTGATCCGCCACCCAGCCTCAGAACATACGGACGACATCGGACTCAGCCATCACTATGAGAACATACAAACCAGAGTCACAGTTAACAGTCTCCGTAAGTACTATTGACGTCAGCTAAACACCATCACACATTCACATGAGGGAGCCTTGTATATCTACATAGCTGCTGCTGTCATCTGCTTTCACTGATTCTTAGTTTTTTTAACACCTAATATAAACCTAGTATTGTTCCTACACATTTGCTTGCCTATCCTGAATTAGCTCAGGAACCGGAAGTGGTGAAAAGAAAAAAAAAAAAGAAAACAGTTAAAAAATCCCGCAAGCTGGTGAAGTAATTAGTCATGCCCCCAGCAATCACTTAAAATACACACTAATTACCACCGACAGCGCAGAGCTTTCTTTCTTAGCCAGTTCTTACTGTATGTAACAGTGTTAGACACCCTCATTCTCTCATTCATCAGCATCAACGCCTACACACACCCACACAGATGCACAGACAGAAAAGTTCTTATTAATGCTAAACCGGTTTACTGCCTTGACAGCTACAGCCAATGAAGGTCTCTCTGCCTCTCTCCTGCAATTCATATATATATAAATATATATATAAAAAAGGTTTTTACAGTCAAGCAACATTTGTGTGTCATAATTCATAATTTAGGAAAAGTTAATTCTTTGGTTTAGGTGAGAATTAAGTCTCCTGATACTCATCAGGATAAATAATTACATATCACACACTGTACAGTAAGGTGTAGAAGCCAAGGAATCAATCCAATTATTAATCGAGGCAGGTAACGTCTTTGTGATCCAGTTACAGAGTGAAATGACAGTAAGTCACGCCCTGACCTTCCTTAAGGCAGCTGCTTCCCAGGATGTTTGATCTCAGGCAGATGCAAGTAAATATCAGGGATTATCATGTACTGTGAGAGACCACACGTCTGCATGTTCTTATCACAACCTGTGTGAAAACAGCAGGCGACTTCAGAGATTAGTTTGAAAGGTTTTGTAATTAAAGAAACCACCTGGAGTAATCACTGGTTGCAACCAAAACCCGCCTGTTCTTTTCTGCACACATTACCTAATTGTACACAGCCAAGGTTTCTTTACACAAATATGCGAGCACTTACAATAGGCAGCTTTCGGTGATAATTGATCTAAATGTATTTGTTGATTAAAAGACGAGAGAAAATAAGCCAATAAATCACACACCTCATTTAAAGACAAGACACTTGTCTGTTAACTTGTTCCTGGTCTTTTAACGTGTCTGCATTATGTTTGTTTCACCTTCCAAATTTGTGTTTGTATTTCTGCATCTCACTATAAATATTCCACGAGTAAGACCTTTAATTCCACTTTAAAAAAAAAAAATGATAAGAAAGATATTCTATTTTAAGAGGTAGATGTCTTTCATTTAGCTGAGCTGATTTTTTTTTACTCCCTAAATATCAGCTGAGGTGAGGTGTCAGCTCTGACCTGATAATAATAAATCATTCTAAAATCAGAGCGCTCTTATCTTACCTTGCCTCCTCACAGAATAATTATCAGTTCATTAAAAACCAGCCAACACACTGACAGGTAAAACTGAATGTGATTGAAAATATACTGAATGCCTTTAGTGAAATATGTGCAGTATTATCCTTTTATATAACCTGACATTTAGAGTAGCACAATTCACTATACAATCCACACACAGATGCATTTACTTGCTAATTACACATTAGATTATTTTTGCTGAAACTCTGCCCAGTTATAGTGTTAAGAACTATACTTTGAAAGCAGTATCCATGCTATAACATGTTGTGGTGAGCACAGCAGATTTAAAATCCCATTCCCCCTGCTATACCCTGGAGTAATTGAAAAACAATTACCTATGATGTGAGATCAGACATTATTACTTCAAAATACGAAGAATTATATGAGAAGTCCAGTCTCTATAAAAAGTTCAAGTAACTTTTGAAAAGAGAAGAGAGACCAAATTTAAAAAGTGACAGTTATCTCGCCCCACCTCCGCCTCCTTTGAGTCAGGAAATAGCACAAGCACACCTGATGATAAATCCACAGTGTACCATGTGTTAATCTGAGTCTGTAATAGTCTGGACAATTACAGAAACATTACAAAATGCTTCCTCTCCAGAACAAAACAATGTATAGCCAATCTTAGCATCCATAGGAAATTCACAATGTTTTTTCCTTGCATTCACGTCAAACGTCCAGTATACATTACATTACAATAATGGGGTGTCAACATACCACATGACAGCTTCCTTAATGTGAAGCAAAAACATCTGGATTGCCCTTTGGTTCTTCCTCTTGGCTCCTCCATGTTCACATATGGGACATGAGCCCACATTTATTCACGTAAATGTGATTTATGTTATCACATTTAAAAAAAAAAATACTGACGCTCAGTGACGTTAGCTTTCCTTATATTTTTGTGACCTTGGACACGGAGATCCAGGGCACAGCGTGTTGGCTGCTGAAATCTTGGATATGGGAGGGGTTCTGTCTAACTAACCTGGCAACAGCACAGGGATGGCTGTTGTTTTCTTGACAGCCATCCTCGCCAGGTTACAAGAGTTGAGGTGATATTTTGTACTCGTCCTCTCCAGCTGAGCTTTCTAGGGGCAGGTGTGACTATGCCCCAGCTATAATAATCACCGTATATTACGGATACTGGTGCAAAGCAGTGATTGAAATGCTGCAGAGAGAGCTCCTGGTCCTCATCTGTTGCCTGTCAAAGATAACAAAAATCTGTTAGCCTGGGCTACAAGCTCTCATTCTCCTCAAGACACCACTAATACACATTTTGCGAGCTGGGTTTCTTTGGCTACCAGCACTATCATGTCCATGTCCTGCTGGCAATGTGCGTATATGGGGCAATTGTGAAGTGTGGCCTCTTTTTACTCCAGGCAGTCAGCCAGAGAGAACAAAGTCTCCACTCACTGCCAACACTCCACTGGTCCATGACAGTCCATTTCCTTGCTGCCAGATAGAAGTGTATTTCAGTTGCATTCCCTGTGACAGCAGCTGAGAAACCGCTTCCAAATGTAGAGTCTATACCTATGGACTTATTTTCCACCTGCCTTACACTTCACTCTGAACTGTAACAGAATCTTACAACCTTAAGGAAGTAATTACAGACTCACAACACAGATAGATTAAAAATATTTGGACATAGACACGTGATCTTTTTTGGTTTCATCCCTAGCAGTTTCTGGAAGTGACCATATTCCATGTGCAGTTTGTTTATATATAATTTACACAATTTTGACGAATGACAGTGACAGTGGGCCCTTTGCAATGAAAAGTCGAGATATACTTTTTTTCACAATTTTTCAACAGTGAACCTCACAACGATCTTGAATAAATGTGAAACTAGAATTAGCACCTTGAGATTATATGACTCTGCCAACCTGTCAAGTTGCAGTTAACATTCATGTCAGTCCAGACTCATAAATGTTGTGGTAAAATGGTAAAGTTTTAGATTCATTCTTGAGTTAAATAAAAGTGTTTTGTTAAGGTTACAGTGACCTTGAATCCAAGGGAACAGTTATGCCACATTTGAAGAAATCTCCTCAAGGTGTTCTGGAGATTTTGCGTTCATGAGAAAAACATGCCTGTGAGATCACAGTCATCTTTGTCTGCGAAAATCTCATAAGTTCATCTTTGTTTCCAAGTAAAAGTCTGAGCCAAATTTGAAGAAATGTCCAGTATCTCGTTCATGATAGTTACAGTTTCCCTCTTTCTTTACAATTTGAGTTGTTCATCTCCAGTCTTTACTCTTGAATCCAACTGATACAAAAGTAAAGTCTCACCTTGAATTTATTGAAATAATAGGCAATATATATATATATATATATATATTCGCAACATTATGAGTGCCCTACTTTTGCTCTTTACAATGAAAATTCTACATAAAAAAACATTAGTTTAATAACTTTAAAAGTGCTATAAACAGCCAGCTTCATAGTTCTCTCACAGATTTTTTATTTCAGTTTGTTAAATATTTTCAGCTCTCCAAGGTGTTTACCATATAGGGTCGTGATGACACTAGCATTAAACTTGTTTCCATAATTTAAAACAGCATTAATAACGATTAAACTTAATCATGTCAACAAAGAACACAGTATTTTCACCGCATCATATCATAAACCCCAAAAGAATCTTTTTTCAGTGCATCTCAAAAGTAGTAAACAAACATTAAACTTTTGACACAAAGAAAATTATTCCTGCCTAAAAAAATGACGAGGTTAAATTATATGTCTGAATTAAAAGAACTGGTTTGATCAAATAATTTACTCATACATTTAGATATAACTTGGCTCAATTGCAAATTAGTGATTACGTAAACACAATATCCATATATTTTTGGCTGTTAAGGGTTTCAGGAGACTGACAGATGACAAGATATTGACTCGGAGAGAATGGAATATTTTCACTAACTTGAAAGTAGGCTGCCTGTAAATAAGAGCACCCTTCTCCTTGTACCATTTATTTCAGGGCAAACAGCTCCCAAAATACTCTCTTAAATCTTTTATGAGTTTCAGGGACGTGTCTGTGTCTGGAGTGTTAACTCGCTTATTTCCTGCCAATAACCATGGAGTCTTTAACCTTACGAGTCTCCAGAAGTGGCCTACTTTCTTCCAGCGGCTGACATAAAAGCTGTGACTTTGACAGTCACAACAGCACAAGCGCAAGTAACACTCGAGTCAACAATAAGTCAGACAAGCATTAAAGTGAGACAAACAACTACATACATCAGCACATCAGTTCACATGTATTTTGGCACCCTGACAATAGCTAAGTTGCAACAAATGCTAAGAAAAACAGGACTTGAGCTTATTAACTGCAGCAAAATCTATTCCCATCTCAGACTATAGTATTTCTAAAGGATATTTGAGATGCCGGAGACACACAGACAAGCTGAAAAATAACAAATGTCGGGATACAAAAAAGTGAGTCGCTTCTAATTTTAAAGGGGAAACCCTGAGTTCGACCTTGAATGGAGTCAAACCCTCAGATCACAAACCAACTCCCAATTGGTGGCTCAAATAACGAAGATATCAAAATAGCTTTCCGTTTTTGATGGAGATCATCCGACAATAAAAACTGCATGGGGATTAATTTGATCTGTGTTATTGTTAGTGTTGTTTCAAACAGACAATATTTATAGTGTCACTGTGTCCATTGAAGCAGAGGATCTAATTTGACTTTCAGAGTTAAATGAGACCACACTGAACGAGAGCCTGTGGCCCACTTGCAGTGAAGAGTATGAAACCGAAACAGGTCAACAAGCTCAGAAAGGAACCTGACGAGGTTACACACATAAGATTTGAAACAGACAGTTTGCATTCAGGTTTTGGAGGATTTGATTGTTTTAGTTAGTAAATCAGCTCCAGCTATGACACAAACTGTAAAAAAACATTTATATTAAACTATTCTGCTTCACATTTGTGTCAGACTTATTGAACTAGTTTCTTTTACAGATTTAAAGGATTTAATTAGTTTTTTTGAAGAGCACTTCATCATCTAGTTTAATAAGTTATCTGTGCATGTGAAAATGCTGCGCTGTCTTTCTTGCAGACTATAGCTTTTTAATAAGGCTTTTAATAAAGCTAGAGCCAGTAGAAATAGAGCTTATTACAAAGAAATCCTCATCTTAAAGAGAACACAGTGGCTCCATCAATCTTTTGCTACCTTAACTGACCTCCGAATCTGATCCCACTCATTACACCACCCACTCGTCGAGGTGTGGTGAGGTGAAAGACTGGTCGGAGCCAACCTCTGCATCATTTCATGAGACAGCATCGATAATTTGAGACTTTCCAAAATTAATTAGCACAGGAATAAAATTTCTTGCTGACCAGTGGGGAATAAGAGCCTAATTAACCTATTTTCTGTATTAATGATCTGTTTTTATCGGACACATTCTGGAACAAGGACTAGAGGACGACCAAAGTTTGTAAACTTCAACCATTAACAACGGCAGTGGGAAGATGACGCCAATGGTGATCAATACTGGCATCTCCTCTGAGCCAGGTAAAAGGACAGGAAAGGATCATGACAAATAACAGATTTACAACCTCAAGGGAATTAAAATAGCCATCACGTCAACATGTTGATATCTTAGTGCATGTTTTTAGAAAATATACACCCCTAATTTCAACTGCTAGATTCTAGCAGTTGAAGTCCAGTAAAATCCCTTCAATTGTACAAATAGTAGTACTACATGGCCCAGAGCTAAAGGAAAATGTCTAGGTCAGGTCTAATTGGTCTTTTTAATTAGACCTGACTTAGACATTGTCTGTACCATCGACTGCAAATAAAGATGGAAAGTGGGTCCAGAGGTCCCATCAACAACTTGCTCAGTCAAACCTGACTCAGTCTCAGCTGTCAATCATGATGTTTCACCCTGTTTTTATAGCATCAAATGACTAATTAAAACCAAACTTAAAAATGAAAACTTGAACAAACATCTGTGTGATAAGGAATCCCTAAAAAATTCAACATGCACTTTGACTTTTTAGCTGTCACTTGGGTGCTGTCATGTCATCCATGTTCTGTAAAAAGGGAGTGCTGTGAGATGTAAGAATTACTGAGTAATGCTATGAGAAAGGAGGACAGACTGGTTGATCAGGGAATCTCAAGAGTTAAACCCAATCAAGCTTTTTTAGAATGAACTGAACAGAGGGTGACTGCAAAGCCATCTGCCAAGTATAAGACATTTCTAGGAACTTTTGTAACAATGTTTATTTTTGTTCTTAATCTTTATTATTTACTTCTACTACGCACTGATTCTATTCTAACCAGTCTTCAAACTGCCGCCTGTGAATTCGACTGCTCCTCTAATCTCCCCCAATCTAAACGCAGAGAAGACACTCTGAACATCTGTTGGCTCCGTCATGCCAGTAGGCAGGGGGCCAGTCTATTTGCTGTGCACCCCTTAATTTACCAGATGTCTACTGTAGGATAAATACAGTTTTACAAAGAGCAGTCATGACTCTCCAGCTGGGTGCCCACAAAAAAACCTACTTGAGGGAAAGTGACACTACCAAGTCAGAAAAAACATTACTGTATATTCACATGCATCCGTCAAAATGATCTACATCCTGGGAATTCAACACACATTCACTAAGTAAAATAATGAATATTACATAAGAATGTGTGCATAATATTTGCACTTCTTACCTCGATGATCATAGGTGGTATACCTAAATGTCAAAAATGATTAATTGCTTATCCACATACTTGCACTTAACAACAGTGTCTGCATTTCTACATGAATAACTTGTGTTTTCCCTCGTTTAGATAGCAGCCAGATGAACAACATCGTCCAAACGTCAACTCTGATAGCTCAGCCATACCCGGCAGTGGGACAGGTCACCAGTCCCTATGAACAACAGAAGCCTGTCAAGGATCTCAACAAGTATGCCACGCTGAAGGCTGTGGGTAAGAAGCTGCTCACATCACGGTGAACCTTAATGATGAGGAAGCAGTTAGCGTTCATCATTTGATCTGATTAGGGAGCTCATTACATCCAAATAAAACTTGCATAATTAATCAGGGGTTTCCTGCATCTTGTAGGATGGAGTGTCAGGGTTTGATTGAGTGAACCGGAAAGAGTAGAATCTGTCATCTGAGGGATCAATGGGGGCAGATTTTATACATTTCATGAGGCAGAAATTTCATCTACAATGCTTCAATAAACAGTAAAAATAAATGAGGTAAGTGTTAAATACTGTCTCAGCAGTGAGAAAATTAATAAATGAGATATATTATCCTCATATTTAGGTACATAATATTAATTTGGGTGATAACTTAAAGGCTTTATATGCTCTAATGTTCAGAAAACACACCCCTATCCACATACTGTCCAAATGCTGCAGCTCCTCTTTTCAGTCTCTGTCTGAAACACTTAGTTTTAGTTCTTGTCTCTTTAAGGCCCCCCTCGTGATAAAGCTGAGTTTGCTCCGATTGGCCAGCTGGCCCCATCTGTTGTAATTGGTCTACCTCTTCCGGCGCCCTTACAAAATGTCAGCCACCAGACTTAGTTAGGCTTTGTTAGGGGATGTGCCAGACTAGCCGTTAGGTGTGCAAAAGATGTTGACGGTTATTAGTAAACTTCAAACACCACAAATGTTGTTAGAAATGTAACTTTTCTTTAGTTGGTTTAAATCGCCATCATATCTGTGGCTGTCAGAAATCCATGTCAGTTAATCCACAGTCCATCAATGCAAACAGAGAGAGGGGAACTGTGAGTGTATTTATAGAACCAAGTTTGTTGTTCTTCTCGTGTACTAATCTTGGAAAGTCTGCAGCCAGTGCCTGGACGAGCAACACAAGGAATAATAGCAAATGCCAAAATATACCACAAAAGAATGTGGTGCTAAAACATTCTTTTATATCGAAAGAAAAACATGAAAAAAAACACAACATATTTGTAGTGCAAAAATATGTAAATGAAAATACCCAGGGGCAAAGGGCAAGGACATAATAATACTGGTTTAATGTTTTTTATCTCCTCTGCTCATCTTCCATTGTTTTAATCTTGTTTCTACCTTAAAAAACACTGCAATGTCTTCACACTGCTAAGACCAGTGCTACATAAATAAAGTTTATCATTGTTGTGATATTGGATTGCCCCCCTAATATTAAAACTTTATCATAATACAATCTCAGTATTTAACTGTACTCAACCATGACTTGTTTGCTTAAAAGAGAATTCAATAACATCTTACACAATTTTGATTCCACAACTTTTTGTATCGATTCCTGCTTGTTTTCCTAATGCTCCTGATGAGAACAGAGAAAATAAGCAGCATTAAAGTGTGAAGTGAAGGTATTAGTGAATGTGTATCTGACACAGTGAAACAGGAGTCTGTTTATAGATTGTACCTGAATCAATTAGCTGCGACTGACAGACCTGCTCTTAGAAAGGATGACGGATTATCAGCATGCATGTATAGTAAGTCCAATCACAGTAAAACCGCTCAATCTCTTTGTGATTCACTGTAGCAGCTGAAGCTTCGATGCTGCTAATCCACTGAAGTGCTGTCAAACAAACTGATCATTAGGGAAAATAAAAATAGAGCAAATCTTAGCTAATGAGACTGGGGACAGGAGACAATCAGGAGCAATCAAAACACAAATGAGTTAGGGCGTGGTGGTGGGAGCACCGTGAGCCATGTGAGCCTCCATCGTGCTTATTTTACATGCACTAATCTACCTGCAAGGATGGGTTTACTGAAGTAGCTGCTGTGAAGGATATGCTGCCACATTATTTGCCTCTGTACAATGAAGTGAGAGCTGCACACACAACCTGCTGTTGCTGGAGGTCTGAAATGTTGGTATAGAAGGACAAAAGACAAGATATATTGTGCTGTGGGGTCTACAAGCACAAATCTAAACCAGTATTTTGATAAAATAATTGCGTATAAAGGAATATCAACAAACGACCACACACACACTGTATTTATTATACTTAATTGGCAAAAATGTAATCTTACCTAATGGCTCATGGGAAGGGAAATTGTGAAAATATAGCCTACATTTAAACATTTAGTGACTTCCTGTAATATACAGTGTGAAACCACCACAACATCATCAGCATTAACAAGTACATTACTATGCAATGCATCAAAGTATTGTGAATAGCTTTTGTTGTAATTTCATTCATATTTATGTCTCATTCAATCAAACATGAACCTCAATCACCATTGACATTGACTATCAATTTAAAGCATTAATAACTATTCAAATATGAATTTAAAGTAGCACAACATTTATGTATTCTGCTTTTTTCAAATTCTTCTCTAATTTGGTTTAATGCATGATTATTGGAAAATATGGGGATGTACACATTTTGTCTTAGTTTGACCTCATAGACCTAATGTGAGGTGTGAACAATCCGCTCCGATTTTAATTGTGTTACTATGGGGATACTACTGGTGATACAGTTATGTTTGACTCGATTTATGACCTCAATAAACATTTTCCTGAGGACTTTATGTTCTTAATTGTTAGTTTAAAGTCAGGTGATGTTTAGTTTGTAAAGTTTGGTCTCATTTAGAGACAACGAAGCACTGTATGCACTGGGGCATGGGTACTGTGTGATTGACCGCTAGTACCGTCCAATTGGGCGCAGGTTACAGGTATAGCTGGGCATGCTTTTGTCAGGTTCAGCCACCCGATAGCTCATCCAAAATGGTTTCAACAAACGAAGCTGGCAAACTTGCAAACTTGAGGTTTCAAGATGACATTTCACAAATAATGGGTGACGTCTAGTTGCCACTTGGCAAAGACTAATGAGATAAGGAAATGACAAAAAACTAGTATGTTGTTTCTTTGTGTATCTGTTAGCAGAGAAAGCTAATGACAGCTACTACAGCAACCGGCGGCAACTGATTGAGATGACAACCAAGGGCAGCCTTCCTATGGAAGCTGTGGATATGGAGCCAGAGCCGAGTAATCCTTACAGCCCACCCAGACAGCTGTCCTCCAAGCAGAGTGAACACAAATACAAGAGCCCCAAGAGCCACAGCTCCCAGTCCCTGTGTTACAGCTCCAGCATTGTTGCCAGCCCAGCAATGCTCACATCCTGGGACAGCAAGGACACGCTGGGACTGAGACAGAGCTACGGCCCAAAGAAACTCTGCATCGTGGAGAAGGAGCTGCACACCACTCGCTACATGCCCCCACAACCATACTTTGTCACCAACAGCAAGACAGAGGTGACAGTATGAAGGATTGTTTGAACATCAGGCTTAACAGGAGTCTGTGAAATACAGTAACTGCTAACTGAAGGCAGGTTTGCAAGACGGCAGCATAGACCTATTTCTGTATGTGCAGTTGTGCATGCAATGAGATGCATTTAAGATGCCATCTACAGGTGAAGTGTGCTCTAACAGGACTCGGTAGCGATCACCGTGCCCCAGGAAGACACAGTGATTCATATATTATCATCAATATTCATATAATCCAAGTGCTAATACAACACACAAAAGCTAAATGTATCATTTATATCAGTGATGAGACATGTAACACCTACTGAACAGCTGTCAATATTCACTAAGATATAAAAGAATCGGTAAATTATCTTATGTAATTTTTATTAAATCAACAGTGTCTAAATGAGAAAAATCTTTCATGTTCACTGTATTAAATCAAGTTGTCTTTGCTTGATTGGGTATTGATGAAATGGGTTATTAACTTTGTTAATACCATTTAGAAATAGGCTGTAACAGCTTCAGATTAAAGGGTGGAAATTAATGCATTCTCCTATATGTGCATAGAATTGAGAGAATTATCTGAATAAATCACATCGGACCAGATTGTATTTATTTTATTTGACATTAAAAGATCCAGTTGTTTTTTAAGTGTGCGACATAAGAATGTGATAAGTTCAGAAAACTGTTAAATGAGGATATAGATAACATTATGGTTGAATGTTTTTTAACTGTATTATCCTCTACAATTAAATCACACACTAACTGTTACCATGCTGTCAATAAGAGCCCAATATCTGACTATCACTGACTTGCATACGAAGAGTATTGATTTAAGAAAAAGAGACGTGCAATTGTTCAAAAGTATTATTCAAGCAAAAATTAGACAATATAGACATTTCAGTCTGTGGTAACTTTAAGTTAACTTGAGATCCATTTAAATTTTGTGAATGTAGCGTCACTGTCTCATTGTGAAGGGAAACAAAGTCACTATCAACACACATCCTATACATTCTCATGATAGGAGAAGTAGCTGCAGAGTGTTGAAACAGTGTTGTGTTGGTGTAATAGTGCCTCTCATCAGTACCAGCATGTGAGTCATTAACCTCAAATTCACTGTGGAAGAAGCCCCAGTCTTAGAATGGTGATTGGTTTTAGTCATAAGTCCTACATCATAAGTCCTACCCCCAACAGAAGTTGTTTTCTCTGTGACATTGCATTCATGTATGCATACAGGATACTTATCCCAAATCTCATTTTTAATTAATGTATCTGGTATAAAAAGCAAAAAATGTAAGTAGTAGGAGCTGACATGTCCATTGTTGGAGGTTAATTTTGATTTGTGAAGCCAGTAAAGGTTGTTTTTTGTCTGTTGCTACACAAATAAATGGGTCCTCTAAACACAAAAATACAAGTTGTTGAATAACAACAACACTATTTATCTGCCGTTTTGTTAACTATTGAGCCACGGTGAAATAATCCCCGTCTTCTGGGAATCTGAAAGTTAATGTTCGACACTTTTTATCCCAGCTGACGAACAAATACAGAGAACTAACAAAAACTGTTGCACTGATTTTCCCAGCCAAGCAATATAAAGGAGTGCTCACGCCTGCCTGCACGTCTTACTCATGCCGTTGATTATTTCAGGCGGCCAAGGACAAGGCTGCAGTCATCGCTGAGTGGGAAGTGGGAATTGTTCGTATAAAGATTTATTTGTGATCTCAAGTCCAAGTCTTACAAAACAAAAAATAAATATAACAAGGGCACAAATGTTGCAGATTGTCATATTTTGGTGGCTGTTTATATTTTCAGACTTTCAAAAAAAACTGTGTGCACAACTTTCCAAAATATGTATATTTAGTGCACCATACTGTCCTTTCTCATAATTAAAAAAAACATTTGTGTTCATTTCACATTATATGGAAAAAATCTGTTATTCACACACGACTGAGATTTTTTTTATTTATGCAAACAATGTTGTACAGTCACTTGTTGTGTGAAGTAAAAATGTGTTGCTGAAATCACTTATTAAGTTACAGCACACCATATTTACACATCTGTAATAAAAATGTGTTTAATATGTGTTTGCTTTGCAACATCCAGTAATGCGATAACAATTTTATATTTTGATAAAGATAAAAAAAAGAAACGCCCCCTACCACACATCTAATACAGTTCACTGTGATGGCTACTGATTCTTTGTATCACAAATATTAATGAGTGTTTTTATGTGTCTTTATGTACAGTACCAATTTACACTGGAGTAAGATCCCCTGTTAATATGTTTACAGCCTCTGTCAGTTCACATCCTCCATTTCTCCTGAAAAACTACTAAAGATCATTCAAATGTTTTCCCCATGTGTCATAAGATATAATCCCTGCATGTCGCCACTGTCAAAAACCTTCAGTCTGCACAATGCCACTTTTGCCACACTGAATTATTTGAAATAACAGCTAAACCAGATATTCAGTTTCAGGTTTGTGGTACAGTGCAGCCTGGAAAAGTCCAAGGATCATGAAACATGTTCTGAATGTGGAAAACCTCTATGGCTGCATTTTTAAGGTTTCTCTAAGATTGTGCATGCCAACAATTTCAGCTTTCATGTATTAGATATATCGTAGCTTACCTTGAACAAAAGAAATGGTTAATGGCAAAGAGCACCTGTAGCACAATGTTTGTGGACTTTATTTAACATTCCAACTGACTAAATAAATGTCAGAAAATCTACTGCAGCTTTAATTGGTTTATTCAACTATTTTGCCTCTTTGTTTTAAACTAAAGGAAAATAATCATTTGGCGGATGATGTGTTGACAGGTGATAGTCTCTTTTGTTGCATTTATTCCTTTTTAAATCGTGTTTCTAGCTGGTTCTACCCCCACAACCACCAGACAGTATCATAACAACATGGACGAGTGCAGCCTCATATAATATACTTCAGTTTATGTGACTTTCTGTCTTTTTGTGACCCAGCTATACAAAAGTGATGTGTCATTATACTGTCAACATTAAAATTATTTTTAATAACTGTCTCTTTCCCTGAATTAAAACAAAATATCCTTACTTTGGTGCAGATCCAAGTCAGGGTTGCAAACTTATATGCGAAATTCAACATTTGAATTCTCAGGGTATAATTCATGCTTTTTGATAAAAAAAAAAATCAGGCATGATTTGTCTTTTCAGTTTGAAGATTGAGTGTTCTTGAGCTGAAATTACAGTCCAGATCAGTAAAGAGGTCCTAGTGCAGTAGTTGATGACAACCTCAAATTCACTCTCATCTGGTCCAAGCACCAGGAGCTATATGCATATTGATTTACTCGTCTTGGCCTCACTACAGGCTGAGAGACATTTCTTGAAGGAGCTGCTACTCTCTTGTGAGATGCCCAATACATTCTCATCCGTCAAGGCCCGGATAAATAAAGGAGCTGCATCGATTCAGCCAAGTGCTAATGCCTCATGGAGCTAGTTTAACTCCATGGAGAGTCTCGTGTGGATAGTGCATGAGTAAATAAAAGAACAACTGCAGTAGAAGAGCACAAAGAGAAAAGCACAAAGCTGTGAGTGAAAAGAAAAGTATTTTGCTCCCACTGGCAGTAAAGCCCTGCAATTAAACAAAATTAGACATACTGCTTTACAGAATATGATGCGCTACACTGGAAGTATCACTTTAAAATCAACATAGAGTTTCACAACCAATTCAGTTCATGCAGCCAAACACACATGACACACAGAGATTTCAAACTTTGATTTTCACTCCACTTTTACACTTATTTTAACACGTTCTGGATGTGTTACTGCAGATCACTCTCGTTTACGGCTGTGTCTGCGATCAGAACTTGAGTTTGAACATGCCTCTGGGAGCACTGTCATTTTCTTGAAAACGCCAGAAGACTTTCTTGTTAATTAGCAAATGATGTTTCCTACCACCCGGGTGGTTCCCTCTGGAAATTAAATCAGCACAATAACCTAATTCAGTCAGACAGAGGGGTACAGCCATGTCCTGGTGTGTGAAAAATTTTGATCCGACGGCAATTACGTAAAGAAAAATTGCAGCGTGATTTTTCAAACATGAAATAAAGTAGGATTGTGCTGTTCACATGAACAAACAAACAGCTAATCCACGGGGGTTAAAATAAGTTAAAATAAATGTATATACTGATAATGCACTGGAGTAAAAAATTAAGTGTGCCACAGTTTTTAACACAGAGATCCCTCTGGGAGCGGATAAGTTCGTGGCAGGCCATTTTAATTGCCAATGCATTGCATTTCTTATTACATTTTTACAGTGTAACTTTACATGAGGAGTTTTCAATAGATTTCCATTGAAATGTCTTGTGCTGCAAAATACTCTAAGATTAAAGGTAAGAAAGGACAGGACCGACCTGCAGACAGAGTGGCTTCAGCTCTCAGGCTCCCTCATGGTTTTAACTGTGATGTACAGCAGTGCACTTATTTTATCCCCAAAACATTTCTCAGATGCATTCACAAACAATTGTGCATTTCTTTTATGCATCTACACAGCATAGAATGACTATGCCAAGGGTTTTCCAAAACTGCATTGAAACAATGAGCCCAGGGAGAAGCTCTGAGTGACGAGCTGTAGAGATTTCTCAGTGTCTGACATGGAAAGGCGGACTGTGACAGGCTGTGGTTCCTGCTACAGAGATGTTTTTATGAACTACTGCTTGCCAGAAAACAAGTTATAACTTTCCCACTAAATTTGAGTCATCATCTGAGATAATGAGAAACATTTCAGCATTCAAATTAGGAAACTGCTGCTGCAGACTTATATCATTAAAGGTGACCAGATGAAGCAGCAGCCCCAGTCAAGAATAATGGTTGGGAAATGTTTTTATTCTTAAGCATCGCGATGTGGACGACTTGGCTTCGATGCAGAGACAGAACATACACAGGACATGATTCAAATCTTCCACTGCACTACCACTAAATGTTTTTTAGCAATGTCCCGCCGCTGATTAATTATAACCAACACTGCTTCAGGATCAGGACATTAAAGGTCTGATCGTCTTTTAGTGTCTAATGAACAGTGAGTGATTAAAAGAAAGAGGAGCAGAGGTCTGAAAGATTTCCAGCGCTCTGCTACCTGTAAATAGAAATAAAACAGACAAACACTCTAAACTGCAAACAATGTTTTCCTTTCTCTTTAAAAAAAAAATACATAGCTAATCTCTACAGGGAACTATGTTCATTTTGAAAAGAGGAGACAACATCAATGGTCATAATTTCAACTGTACCGCAGTCAAACTAGATTGTTAATAAGGGAGCAATTCCCTCTACATAAATAGACATCAGTGGGGCTCGAATAGACTGTCAATGCTCCAAATTAATCCATTCCCAAAGCCATTGCAGAGTAGCAAAGCCCAGATCATTGTGCCGCTACAAAAGCAAGCGAAACAGCTTGGAGCAAAATCTGAGAGCTTCTGAAAGGGGCACACTGAGATTAGGAAAGTGGAGCTCCGCAGAGAGATGACTCCACAGCAGACAAAGGCACTGGGAAGGAAGAAAGGTCATCGTGCTGATTTGGGATACAGGGATGGGTTTTTCCCAGGTTAAAAGTCTGTAACACGCTGATTACCACTGCTAAAAAATTAAGAATTATGAAGTTCGGTTGACAGATAAAAAAATTCGGATTGTCAGTTAAATCCCACCACCAATATCTGGTCGTGGTATCTCTTCAAACTGCAACAGAGATCACTTTAGCTGCTTTCAGACTTGCACTGAAGTCCAGACATTTTCTTAAAATTTTCTGAAGGGGCTACATGAGAACGCAAGTGTCCAAGTTAGTTGCTTGGTAAAAAACATTGTAGTCTGTCCTGCCAGGCTTCACGCCTCATTTAAATGTTCCAGAAATGTTCCAGTTGTGAACGTTTCTGATCTCCAGCTTCGTTCTTGATGTTAAAGCCAAACTCCGCAAAATTGTGTAGAAAATTGAGTTTTCATATCTGAAAACAGCTTTAGAAATAAATACCAGGTCAGCAGGAAATTCTCTGGTGGAGGACAGTTTGAAGAAAAACACAGCTGTTTAGAAAGAAAGGAGTCCTTTACAGAGGCTTGAGTTTATTTGTATGTGCGCAGGTTTTATTAAGGGACGATACGACTAGATTCAGTGTCAAGGTGCAAACACAGTTGTCAAGTTTCAATTTCTATCCCTCTTAAGCACATTATGGATCCTTCTACCTCTAACATCTTGTTGCACTGCTCTGTCCCCG